TATAAGGAAAGTCACTTTTCATGTCCTAAGATAACCTTTCATTAATCATGAATTTACATAACTTCCAGCTAGTCAAAAAATATCATAATAATCAACAATGCACTGTTACAAAAATACTTTCTGTAATTCATAATATCGTAATTAAAACAATTCTTAATAAGGAAATCTGTTATCGAATTCCAAAGGTAACCTTAACGAACGTACTTGTAACAATCATAATAATCAACAATGCACTGTTACAAAAATATTTCTGTAATTCATAATATCGTAATTAAAACAATTCTTAATAAGGAAATCTGTTATCGAATTCCAAAGGTAACCTTAACGAACGTACTTGTAACAATCATAATAATCAACAATGCACTGTTACAAAAATACTTTCTGTAATTCATAATATCGTAATTAAAACAATTCTTAATAAGGAAATCTGTTATCGAATTCCAAAGGTAACCTTAACGAACGTACTTGTAACATTGAAACACGAACATCATAAAATCAATAGTTAATATATATTAATAGTTTATAAGTTAATATAAAGCACAATAGTGTAATATAGTGTCTGATTACAAATACGTCTAAAGTTTAATCGATAAATGATGGCCATTTCTTTCAGCAACTTTAGTATCATTGTTGTTTCTTTTTATCGCTCTGTTGCCATGACAGCAGGGACCCTCTTGGCTTAGGAAGAAGTATATTTCATTTATTAATCCAGAACTATTTAGTAATTCATTGCTATTCTCTAGCATAGACAAATGTTTCTTTGTTGAAAAAAGAAATGTTTTAGAAGTATAATTAGGCCTCTCAGATCCTTAAGTGGAAGAATGTGACAAAGTAATTGAGTAGTAATCACGTAAATTTCATATCTTGAATGTCTTATTCATCCAGATGCGGCAGTATTATAATAGGTATATTGAAAACTCATCCTGATGCTGAATATTTTCTTCTTCTTTTGGTCATTATGTTTCGTTTCGAAGCCCGAAATCACACAATTAACGTTTTTATATATTTTTTAAATCAACAATAAAATGTCCTCAAAAGATGTCCTTACAATACGACCATTTCAGAGGACATTTTATTGTTAAAAGATGTCCTTACAATACGACCATTTCAGAGGACATTTTATTGTTAAAAGATGTCCTTACAATACGACCATTTCAGAGTTTATGTTGAGAATAGCGCTTTTTGTTATATTATGCTTTTCGATTTAAAGCGGTGGCCAGGTGGTTAAGGCGTTCGACTTGTAATCTGAGGGTTGCGGGTTCAAATCCCCGTCCCATCAAACATGCTTGCCCTTTTAGCCATGGGGGCGTTATAAAGTGACGGGCAATCCCACTATTCGTTGGTAAAAGAGTAGCCTAAGAGTTGGCGGTGGGTGGTGATGACTAGCTGCCTTCCTTCTAGTCTTACACTGCTAAATTAGGGACGGCTAGTGCGAAATTAAAACAAACAAACAAACAAACAATACACAGTGGGCTTTCTGCTCTCTGTCCAACACGGGGAATCGAACCCCGGAGTTTAACTTTGTAAGTCCACAAACTTACGCTGATCCACCGGAGGACGAAATGAAACAAAGCCTCATGAGATTTTATTTTTTTAAGTGGCTCGGCTTTATTAACTGAAAGTTGAATATAATTTGATGAGCAGAGAATTAACCTTTTGATTTCGAAGATGGGTATATGTGTGTGTGTGCACTTCAAAGTTCTAACGCTAGGTCACAATTTTTATTAAAATGAGTAATGCTACTCAGCTTTGATAATGCTTTTTATATGAAGAAAAAAAAAACATTACAAGAAAAATTTAGATCTTTTGGAAGCCTTAAGAGTGAAACAGCCGCACTTCCATCAAGCTTGGAAGGAGACCCCTAAGTGGCAGTTTCTGTAAGACATTTCTAGTCAGGCCTCTTAACATACACGCAAGTTACACCATGGCTTAGAGCACTGTTTCTCAAACTTTTTGGGTCCCACCTCCCTTTTCTTCTCTGTAATATACTTTGCCCACCCCTCTTTAAACTGTGACATATCTATATAGCCAATGATGACAACAATAAACTTAGCCTTAAAAAAAATGAAACGTTTTCCTAACGTTTCTCACGCCCCCTAAAGATACGGTCGTGCCCCAAGGGGGCGCTTCCCACTGTTCGAGAACCATTGGCATAGGGCTTCCAGCTGAGTTGGGGACCCACACGAGGTCATTCTTCTTTGCTCCCCCCCCCCCGAAGACATTTTCAAAAAGTCGACCCTCTAGTTACGACTTTTTACGTAGTCTTCAACATATTATTTTTGTAACAATGCAGTCACGACATCTAACATTGATTTCAACATATTCTTTTCGTAACAATATAATGTTTGTAAATTGAAACAATAATTTTATAACAATTTTGAATTGACCTAGTTGTTGTGTAACAATTTTCGTTGTAAATTGTCATCATTATTTTTGTAACAA